GACCATCTGCTGAGAGGTTATATTAAAGCTGTGATATGAAAATAGTTCTGTACTGAGCTAGATTCTTTATGGATTATCCCAATATGACATTACTTAGAGTTTCCTTTAGAAAAGGGACTGATACATCATACAGTGGATTACACATTAGTCAACCTGTTCTGTAGGGAATCTCCAGCAGAGAAAATATTATCACAAATTAAGCTTTATAACTGGCAGGGTAAATAATAGATTGTAATTATTAGTAGTCTTGGTATAGATAGGAAGTAATAAAATTAATAAGCAATACTTAAGCATATTTTAATTAAATATAAATGTTACCTATGGTAGACTAATGTACCTTCTTAAAATAATTTCTGTGTTAAAACTGAGGAGTTATACAAACACGAAAATGAATACTTCAATGAAAATTAGCAAACTATAGTTAGTTAAGCTACAACAATAGAATTTGTATAAAATATGTACATGTTAATACAATGAAATTAACTATGTCATACGAGATAAATTCTTAACAACTTCTATGTTAACACTGTAAGTTAAACAAGAGTTAGGTGTGCACTGTATCTTTATATATATATATATTAGGCTAGTTTAGGCCAAATGGGATAATGGTCTAATGACTTACATCCTCCATAGTTTGGTTCACCAACTGTTCCAGTTGGACATTTACAAATGTAGCTTCCCTCAGTGTTGAAACACTGGGCTCCTCTTCCACATGGTGCTTGTTCACATTCATTTAGATCTTTAGAACAAAACTATTTATTACAGATGATATAATCTTGACTAAATGTTGTACAATTATAATAAAGTTTCCTTCATTACCCAGTCAAGCCATCTCCAAACTTTTATATTCATTAAGTTGTTGAAGAAAAGTTACAAGTAAGTGATTCAGAATTTTCTAAGCTTACTCTAATAGTTCTGTGATTGTAAAGAGATAGTTATACTAAGCTGTCAACAACAAACAGGGTTATTAAAAAAATCATATTCTGTACAGGAAAAGTGGTGAGCTGTGAACTTAAGCATCACAAATGTTTTATATGCTGCCCATTAGCTACAAAGCACATATCTGTATCTCAGTCAATGTAAGTCCAACAAAAAGTATTTAAAACCAATTATATGTCATATTTGATTAAGTGATAAAAGGATAAATAAAATGAAAATATTATTACTTGTGAATTATATGTTTTACCTTTTAAAAATAACTTTTGTCTTTTCACCTTACTTTGAAAATAGCTCGATATAATAATGATAGCTCTCAGAACTAATCATATTCTACAACTAATAGTAATTATTTATACTCTACACATAATGTTGATTATATGCTTACCTCTACAATGTCCATTTGATGTCAAAACAAAGCCTCTTGGGCACACACACAAACTACGCTGTTCATTTGTATACATACATTCCTGGTTTTCTGGACATGGATTTGTAGATGAACATGTACGTTTTCTACTAAAAGATTCAAAAACGAAAATACCTTTCAAAAACAACAAGTATAAATACATCTTATTTGCTCAACAAGCATTATATTTCTTTCTATATACTATATCACTGGGCATATGCATATTGACAGGTTAGAGTAATAACTTTTACAAAAGATTGTCCTTTAATCTACAAGCAAAAAATATTAGTAACATTTTCTAATTATACCAATAAGGTTTAATGAAGTTTCTAATTTCTATACACAAAGCTCTCAATAAAGGCAAGTAACAGTTCTTAAACAAAATAGAAACTAGATGTAATATAGAATGAAATATATAAATATATATATAATGAAGATCCTTAGAGATATAAGAAAATAGTAAAAAAAGCATAAACAAGTATTTACAGAAACCAGTACTAAATTAAAGTGAGGTCAACAAATTGCACTGCGAAAGAATCAAAATATAACAAATATACATGTAAAAATCCCATTTTCTAGCAGCTTGATGACTTAAGTATGATGAACAATAGTATAAATGATCAACATGCAGAAAGTCTGTGCAAGTTTGCCAAAGTGTTATTAGCAGTGATTGGACACAGAAAAGATAGACATTAAATGTGTTTTACATGTTTGTTAGACTGTTCTGTAACCACAGAAGAATGTAGTAATTGGTAGGATACTCTTGAAGATAATATATTATCGATCATACAAGTATGAGAAAAAACACAGTTTTCAATTATCCTATGCATATTCAAAATAACCAAACAGAAAACAATATAAAAAAGTATATGTAAATATAATCAACTCTACTTCTTACTATAAAACAAATGTTAAAGAGGCCTACCGATGATTTTTTAGGCAAAAATTATAATGTTGTGTTTCCGTAGTAAATTATCTTTTTTTTTATTATTATCATTAAAAGTATTTTTAACAGATTTTTTCCAGAAAATATGAAATAAAACTGACAACTTACAAATACAGAAAAATCCTTCCTGATGAAGAGGAGGAGGGCATCCACAATGATCACCAATGCAGAGAAGATTGCCAAGGCATTCTTCGTGTCGGACACATTGTTGTACTAAAAGGTATTACGTATATATTTATGAGGTTTTTGAAATTATTAATTATATTACCAGAGCCTTAGTTCTAAAGTACTTCTCTATTGGATAATCCTTTTTACCTTAAAAATCTCCCAGAATATATATGCATGACTACTGTTTTTTCTCATATCAGAAATAATGAAACATTTTACTCAATATTTTTACAACACATTCATATAGATGGAAATACACATAAGCTAGACTCACTGTTGGGCAGTAATGTCATTATCAGTAGCAATGTTACTATCAACTTAACTTTTTTAGTAATGTCCCAGGTAACAACACTGCTTTTAAAGTTTTAGGGAATTATGAATTTTTAGTCAAAACCACATTATTTGTCACTCATTACTTTTTAAATTCAATAATATTATAGTATAATAATATACTTAATATAAACTAACTAATAACAATTGGTAGTTAAAACTATCTGGCTAAAACAACAATAACAATTAATAAACTAATAAAAATAACCTTAAATAATATACTTTTTAAATAGCAGTAATATTGGAACAACAGCAGAGGAATGACGTATTGCATATGTATTCCTGTTGAAACATGTTTTAGTTGAGTTGTGAATTTGTAGATGTTTAGTGAGGGCCATCACACTAATCAAGGATACCTTTGGTGTGTATTTTCTGTCAATTGTTTGTAAGCTATTAGAATGGGAGGTTATGTGCAGGACTATCTCATATGAAAGTGGCAGTAGTTTGAGAGACACTCCATGTAACCTGTGGCCATATCTCGAGAAAAAAGTTTACTGGAAGAAGTAGTGGTAACAACTTATCATATGAATGCTTGCTTTGCTTGCCTTTATACCCAGGGAACCATGGGGGCTGAGGAGACATGGTCTGCTGTAAATGTTATTTAATTTCTACTACTACCCAAGAGTACTTTCTAGGTGCACAACCTGCCAGATCAGCTACTGTAGCTTTTATACAGCATGGTCTATGATGGTAGGTTTTACCACTCAGATATCCTACTCTGTATGTATACAAATGACATACATGAGAATATAAAATTGTCACAGATGTCTTTTTTAACCTTAAAATTTAACATGAACTATATTCTTACATCGTTTTTGGTCAAATGACCTTTATTAGGCTGATATAATGCAATATGTTTAGTAAAATATTATTGGAAAATCCATTTTAACACACTGATATTATATAAACACAAAATCTTAAAGTTACAATGCCTATAGGGGAACTATACCAGATAAGGCTGATTATTACATGACACTGGGAAAATATCTTTATTTAACAGCAAAATATATTTAATCTAACACTGAAAATGATAAGGCTTGAAATACTGAGTTGACATATTGCAATAAACTTCAGATTCAGTCAAACAGGATATTGCCTACTATACAAGGATGAATACCATATATAGTATTCCTACCTACTGCTTTTTATAATTTATCTGTAAAAACAAATGCTCATCTGGATAAATTTACATGTAAATCTCAAAAGTAGACATTCATAAATATAGGCATATAATTTCAAACATGGATATAAAACACAACAAAATTCAGAGATCAATTATCATCTACCTCAGATTCAGGATCATTACTTTCATCAAACTGTACCAAGTACTGTGCACAGGAACATTTTACCACTAATCCATGACACTTGCACCCTAGATAACATGGTACTCGTTTCTTGGAGTTACTACTGCAACCCTTTTTGCAGCCACATGAGACTGACTTTGACATATATCGTGCAGCCACAGTGGTGTGGTAACAAGAACTGGTACAAGCTGAACTTCATTCACAGTCCATCTATGTTCATCAAGTGGGGGGGGGGATTACTGGCTTTGCTATGTGTGCTGTCTTGGCAATTATTGTAGCCAGGGCAGATCTCTTTAGGTGTTGTATGAAGGTATCCTCAGCAGGTGGCAGCAGCATCAGTAACATAGTCTTGTTGTTCAGAAATTTATTGGCTATAATGTCTGCTAGACTAGACCCAGCCATTTCTACATTCTTTGTGTACACAACAATCAATAAGTTCCTTGCCTGATTGAAAACCTCACCAGTGAGAGATGAGTCATCAGTTTCTGTAAAATCTTCAAGGGCATCAATGTTGATCTTCTTACTGGCTACCAATCAGCCCTTCATACTGGTAAAATATGGGTAGCTGGTAGTATCCCTTCACCTGAGACTGTGGATTAACGGTAGCGATTGACACTGAGCTTATCCTACAGACCTTGCAATTTCATGAATTGGCAAATAATTGTCAAGTCCAGTCCATACCCATAATTGTGGAAGATCCTTCAGGAGTGTAGGATTGACACTGAACTTAGCCTACAGACCTTGCAATTTTGAGAATTGGCAAATAATTGTTTAGTCCAGTCAATACCCTTGGCCTTTGGAATGGGTTGCCTTCAGATGTTGTAGAGGCAGTAAATTTAAGTGAGTTAAAGAAAAGCTTGATAAGAATATGTATAAAAAGGGCTAGATTGAAAATTTTATTATTATTATTATTATTTTTTAAATAATTTTAACTTAGTTTTGAGGGTGGAACAGCTGAGACTGACCAATAGGTCCCATGTTGTCCCAAAATATTATGTTATGTTATTATATCTCAGTTGAAATTTTTTTAATAGTTTGTAATAATGATAATTCTTTTATGGATAATGTTGTGTTATTCATAAATAAACTGAAAAATAATGGTTGCAAATACTGGCAATTAAAAAATTTTTTACACTGTTTTTTAATAAATATGACAATATTTTAAAAAATTTACTTTCGATATGGAAAATACCTTTTGTGTTATTAGAAGTCATTAGCTACTTTTAGATAGCTAAATTTAAAATTATAATTTTATTCAGTATACCCAGACAGAAAGATGAACTTCAAGTAGCTAGGCTTGTATCGGCTTTCCTGTGTTATACTTGAATACATTTTCAAAAAGAACTGGAGGAGGTTAGGAACATAAGAACTATTAAGGTAGGGTTTGTAGTTCTATTTAAGATCTTTTTTTTCTTTTTCTTTTGTAAGGGTGGAGGTTGGGAGTTTCATAACAGTAGAAATCTTAGGGTGATTTCATTTCTACTTTAGGAACTATAAGAACTTTTACGGGTAACTGCTTTCTTACAAGTGGCTGCAGACAGTGAAGGGCAGTTGGAGTTGAGACGTTGTGGGTGTAAGCACTCAGCTCCATACCTTTAATTGATTTTCCATGATAGCTGGTTAATTTATCATCAGTGTTTGGATTTTGTCTGATTGGTGGGATATCCCAAACACATTTGGGAGCTATTACCACAGGCATTATCCACTGTGGCTTTCAGGTGATAACTAGGACTGACAAAGGAATCTTTGCTAAAATTTTTCTAATATATATTTTATATTACATTCATATTAATGAATTCATATTCATAAATTTATATTATATTATATTAAATATAATTATATAATATTAAATTATTTTATAATGCTGATTTTAATCGCCTATGAATAATTAATGTAATTAATAGTATCAAAGCTATTTTTAATTATATATATATAAATAAAATACACACACAACATCCAATACATATACAACAAATGCATCCAAATAGGAGAAACATAATATCACTCCTATTTTGGTGCATTTGATGGTTGGTTGTTCTAGTTCACTTGGTTGGACGTCAAACTGTAACCATGGTTGGTTTATTGGCCATGTTATTAAATGTCAAAATTACTTTTGTGCTTATGTTGTAAGTTTAAATAATAGAAAGATAACTTCTTTTTACAGACTGTTCTCTAACGATGCATCTACCATCTCTCCTGACCAACTGCATGGTGATATTGCTGGTAGTGGTGATGATGCAGTCACAGATGAAGGTGGTGATGATGACTCAGATGGAGATGCTGTAGAAATTCATTTTCGCGTTGATGTTTTAACTGTTGATGATGAGGTATCATTTTGTTTGTATATATGCATTTTGTCAGACCATCATAGGTGTGCCTCTCATACATTGAATCTCATTGCTGCTACTGATGTAGATAAAGTTTTAAATAATGCTAGCATAAAAAATACTCTCGATCAGCAATGACAAAAGATCAAACCACATGGTATAAACAGAGCAGAAGCAATGTAGCTGCTGACACAACTGAGAAAGAAAGAGGGGAATATTTGATTGTTCTTTACCCAACTCACTGGAATTCAATGTTTGATGCCCTAAATCACGTAGATAGGTTAATATCTGGAAGTGAGTCAACTGATCAAGCACTAGATCGAGTTTTTGATCAACTGGTCATTGTGCGGCTGAATCCAGCTGAGAAATTTTTATTTTGGAATACGTTCATGTCATTAGACCTATTGCTAGAACACTTGGCATTTGTGTGAGAACAAAGTGTTTATGGGACTAGTGAGTCCTACCTTCCATTTTTGTCTAGCCAAATTGGGGGACTTGAACAATATATGGTTTCAAATTTGCAAACCCCTAGTTGAAGTATCAATTCAAATCATAGAAACTAGGTTTGACAATGTGTTCAACGATGATGATTCAATTCTTTCAGCATGTTTTCATCCTAGTTTCATGCTCTTCTGGCTTCCAGAAAAATAGGAAGGAACAAGTTTAACAACAAATGATCACAAAGATAGAAGAACACGCAGTACAATATGGTACTGAGTCACCTAATCAAGATAGCATGACAGAAACAGATGAAGAAGAAGATTAGTTCAGATGCCTACAAATAATGGGAGCAAAAGTACTGGAAACAAAAGTGCTCAAGTAGTTGGTGCTTTTCTAGATAAATCTCTTGTAAAGTCTGTTCACAATGACATATTTCCAGATGCAGTCTTAAAGTCATTTTTTATTTCATTAAATACAGCTATTCTGTCAAGCACCACAGTTAATAGTTTTTTTTCAGTTGGAAAAGATGTGCTGAGGGCAAAAAAGAGGAGGAATGTCTAATACAAGCTTCAAAAGAGCTGTTTTCTTGAAATGTAGCCATGATATTGGCCTCAAAAAATAATTGTTTTAACACTGCAATTATTACGTGATTATTTCATACTACTTGATAGGCTATTCCTTTTTCTTGTAAATCATATGTTGCTCCTACTTTCCCTATTAAAGATGCGTTTTGGCAAAACTCCTTAACTATTTGTGTTAGTTTTTGAATTTCACACAAAGCTACATGAGGGCTATCTGTGCTAGCCATCTCTAATTTAGCAATGAAAGACTAGAGGGAAGGCAGCTAGTCATCACCACCCACCACCAAATTTTGGACTACTCTTTTACCAACGAATATTGGGATTGACCATCACATTATAACACTCCCAGGGCTGAAAGGTGAGCATGTTTGGTAGGATGGGAATACAAACCCACAACACATACATTGCTAGTCAAGAACCCTAACCACCTGGCTACACTGGCTTTATCATAAAGGAAAAATAAAAGTAGCTTCTTTAATTGCTTAATTCTAAAACCTTTCAATGTATAATGCATTTTATTTTGTTTTGAGTTTAATGCTTGTAGTTCAGCTCTGCAAACATATATGTAATATAAAATACAATGTACACAGTACATGTTTTATATACAAAATACAGGTATTTATTCGAAAACTAACGAGTAAAACAAATCATTACTCGTTACATTTTTAAATAGGTAACATTTTGGGTTAAAACACTACTATTTTTAGCAGGTAATGGCCAAAATAAAGTCATTACTTTTTATGAGTAATGTACCCAACACTGGCTACACTTTGTATGTTCCACATTAAGCAAAACTATTTTGAATACACTTACTTATTGTACACTCCAAGTTAGGGTTTCCTGTGAGTCCACTAGGACAATAACACTCTGCATGGTGATTGTTGGCCTTACATTTAGCTCTTTTTCCACAAATATCTGATTGTGAACAAACTTCTGTAAAAGAGAAGAGAGATTTTCATTTTTTTTTACAAATTTGCAATTACCTGTCTGGATTCAGGTTGTAAGAAATATTATATAAATAAATAAAATTCACACAATTTTAAAGGTACAAAAGGGAGCTTATGAGCCCATCAATTAGGTCCCTTCCAGCTACCAACTATAACAACTCCTTACCATTTGTGTATTCATCTAATCTTTTCTTAAACCCAGTTATATTTTCTACCTCCACCACCCTTGAAATCAGCTCATTCCAAAAGCCAACCACCCTGTTTCAAAAGTAATACTGTCTAAATTGCAGACAACTTCTATGCTGCCAAAATGTGTCCTATTATTTTCACTGCTAAACATAAAAAGTTTGATGGCCCTATATTATCAATACCCTTAAT